CAATCTGTCGTCGTCATTTTTTGATTTGCAATTAGATCAAGTGTGCTCCCGTCTTCGCCCACTTCATGTTCATGGACGATAACTACCATAACGTGAGAACTCTTGGTGTTATTCCTCGTTTTACGCTGTGTGAGTTTCATTATCGATCGCGTCTGACATCTCCCCGTACTGCTAAGCTTCGCCATGTTCTTCTTCTCGACTGTCTGCGGCAAATTGTATTGCCTGTCAAGCAGAGACCGTTTGAGGTGAGGTCAGTAATCTCGTTCTAGTGGATTCAAGGACGTAATCTTGTAACCTTCCGCGACATCACCCTCATATTATGTAAATGTTTATACCTATCAACAGTGCATTCGGAGTGTGGAGTAGCAAACAGACCGCGGGCTGTAGTCAGGTGTCACATTATGTGGTGGAAACAAGGATGGTTTAATGTTGCCAAGTGGATCTAGTAAAGTTAGGGGGTGGAGGTCGACTAGCGTTTAATTCTCAAGAGGGGTGAGAATCACTTGAATCATGGTTTTTCAGTCCCCAGCATGTCAGTAAGTGCAATGATTTCTCACCTCCTTACTCAGTGCTAGTATTTTCCTGGGTGGGGTAATCACCCACACGGGAGCCTTGCGAGTATGCATTGCTTCCAGTGCAGTAGTTACAATACTAATAAACCACATTAATGGTGAAATTGAGGCAATTGTGGACTTGGTTGCAGGCAAAGTTGAGGGTATAAAAGCAAATGCAAACATTTGTGTTTAACGGAGGGCGTTTTAAACTTGGTGGGTGACAGTTCGAACATCGATTCCGACTATCTCCACCGTGAGCTACACAGCTAGGTGCAGCTGGCGCGGGAATTAATTTGTAGCGATAGTAGACTTGCATAGCATCTACCGCACTCTTTCCTCCACCTGGACCCGGTGACAAGACAGAGTCAAAAAGTCCGAAAGCGAGGGATGGCACCTAGACGTGCCACCACACCCCCCGGGTCCACAACATACAGTTGCCCAGGGTTTTTCACCAACAACAGCAACAACAGCACCCCAACAGGGGCCAGAAGGACGAGAATGATGACTGGGCAGCCATGCCCACCACATGTATACCCCGTGAGACCGCAAGCGCATCTACCGGCAGGGAACCAGGTGTCAGGGCACGGCCAGCGCATTCCAGGCCGTGAGGGCCGCGGTTTGTTGATATTGGCATAGGACACGCTTTCAGACCTTTCGACACATAGTGGGTACGTGGTTGATGGATAGCAGCGTCGTATAATAGCCAAATTGGCAAGGCGTCCGCTTCTTTTTTTTGTTGAACTCTTTGACAAGGGACCCCAGAGTGTATTTGAGGCATCATACGAATAAAATCCCTGTCCCAGCGATGAGGTCTCATTGCTGCACTGGTCAGCAGGAACGGCCATTTGATTTCAGCAGTCACCAAATTTAGAGCTCGTTCACTAGTCACGCGTCAGTCGACTGGTCTGGCATTGCGATCAAACGACTGCATCGCCTTGTACACCCTTGGGCGAGAGGAGGCTATTGGCGACTCACAGTGTCCGCAGGATGCCTTCGTCGCAACGAGGGCATCCCGAGACATGCAGTACCTGCAACCGGATTAAATCCCATTTACGTAACCAATATGACCTACTTTAATCAATTCAGTAGACTGAACATGCGCGTGCCTGTAGAACTTCACTCACAGCCCGTTAGAACGGACTGGCAACGACCGATAAGCCAGAGTTGACCATCGCAGTATACATTGTCTTTGTTGGTACTATTCTTCTGCCTATATAACTATTTCCTGCGCACCTGCCTGGAGGTTATGCACCGCAGTCTGTTGGCGCGGTAACTTTACAAGCATGTTCGCCTGTTCTTGCACTTGAAGTCTGTGGACGATTTGTGCCCGCCTAAAGATGTCTCTCTAACGCACAGCACATGTTGGTCGGGGAGAATCATTTTTCTGACGCGTGGATTAGTCAACACGACGTTGGTACAGACAGAGACAGCTGTTTTGAAATCGTTTCGGCTCATCCGTGCGATCTGTCCCGTATTACCATGACGGCTCTATCAGTCTGTGATCACAAGGCACTTTTCCGTTTAAAAAAGTATCACAAATGTGTCATTAACATCGCTGATTTGAGTTGTTATTTCAAACTGATTTCGAAACAGTTACGCATGCAAAGAAGTAGATCATAGGAAACAAAACGAACTACTGGCCAGATACTTCTTGGACACGATGACAATGCTCGAGTCTGCGCAGCAACCAACATAGTCGAGGTTCGGAAGTACGACCTTGAGCAGTTGCAGCCGACAAGGTCAGGGGACTGCCCATGTTCCTGCCAGTGCTGGCACTTGTGTTTTGTTTGCCATTGATATCTCTGCGGGCCGAAGCTCCTAGGCAAAAAAAGGATCAATAGACGGTATTCTCGTGTGAATTTGATTGTCGTAGCGCTGAGTACAGTTGTGTATTTACAGTAGGTGGGCTAACTCATGAAATGTCAACCAAAATTCCGAAATGCGTTTTCGTTTCGAAAAGAATTGTTAAGTAGGATTGTAGAAATAGTCAGTCTGCAACGTAATTCTATAATATTTCAGTTACCTCAGAATGCCGACTTTCGAATGACCTTCCTTGCGGCCGCATGCAGAAACTACACTCTGTAAAAAAACGGCTACTTAAGTAGCATTCATTTTTCTCATCGATTTTTTGATGCCTCTAAAAGTCCAATTATATTTCATGGACAAAATGCATAAAAATATGCATGCTTTTGCTTATTCGGTGGCTAAGTACGTCTTCTTTTAACTTTACACTCGAAGGAGGGGCATAATTCGGTTTTCAAAAATTTCTCCGATTCCCGACTAATTTTGAAGCCGCTCTACCGTCACACTTGGATTTAGGGTTTCCAACCGACAGGCCGTATATTTTCCGCGTACGGAAAACCCCATATATATCTAGGGTAATAAAGGGGGACCACATAGTACGCATACAATTAAGTAGTGGATTTGATCCATAGTGTTAACTTTACAAGATACATTGGTAAATGTAGAGATATGGCGACTTATGAACAGCCATTTCACGGTACTTAAAAGTCCCACAATTATGGACTTTTTTAAAACGGAATTACCTCCATCCTTTGAGCATAAAATTATAAGAAGACATAATTATCTACCGAATGAGCAAAATAATGAATATTTTTATGCATGCTTTCCATGAACTATAATTGGACTTTTAGAGGCATCGACAATCAATGGGAAAAATGAATGCTATTTAAGTAGTCGTTTTTTACAGAGTGTAGTTTCTGCATGCAGCCGGAAGGAAGTTTTTTTCGAAAGCTGGCATCCTGAGGTAACTGGGTTATCATAGCATTATGCTGCATGATGATTAGTTTTGCAACCTTACTTAATTAATCTTTTCGAAACAAAAGCGCATTTCGGAATTTCGGTTGACATTTCATGAGTATAGCTTTTGCCAGTCCGCTCCCGCCGTTCTGTCACGCAGCTTGTCTGCACACCTCGTGCCCCCCCCTGTCAATTGGCTGAGGGGACAGCGCAAGGCTTCTACGTGAGCTCGAAGCCATTCAATGCTTCTCCTTAGCTAACTGGCTACAGGCGAATGAATGTGAGACAGACCAACGGCGCACACACGCGCTGAGGAGGGCTAAGAAATTCAGCGGTACACACCGACGGCCGCAATAGGCCTGCGACAACTGCTTACTGAAGCTCCTGTAGGCTCTTTCAAAACAGCAGAGATTGTCCAGCACAATCTATCTCCGCTGATTTGTGACATGGGAATCGTGGTACTCCGAAGAAGAGGATGCGATCATTGGAACATGAAGTTTATTGGCTCGAAGTTTCGGATCCCCACTTGACCCCATCATTAGAGACGGCAGCAAATTAAGGTAATGGAGACACAAAGACGGCAGTATTTATAGCACGTAGCTGCCGTGGGACCATATGCGTGCTATAATTAACGGCTCTCGCGATCAGCGCATGGTGTCGTAATCAGTGCGATAATATCTCCTCCTTCCGCGTTCGAGTAGTCAGTTGCCGCAATGTTGTCATCTGTGGGACCACAGACGTACTACAACTAACAGTTCTCGTGATCATCGTTGGGTGTTGTAATTAAGGCGACGGTGGCTCGTCAGTCCGCGTCCGAGTCGTGAACTGCCACGATTGCATCATCCGTGTTGGATGTTGACGTGGTGATTACTCGACCATTTGGCCCGCTGTCATCAGGAGAGCAGAGCGCCTGCGTCATCCCCACGTGACTGATTCCCCTACCCAGGGAATGCCTCAGTACTGAATATGGTACCGGGCGGGTCCTTCGGCCTCATGTCTTGACGCCTGATGGGTGCTTCCGGCCTGCGTGCAACCCCAAATCCAGGTGGAATGAGAAGATAACTGACGGCATCTGAGACATTCCTCACGTACGGAAGAGCCAGCCCAAATTTGGGACCGGTTTGATTTGGTCATTGGTTCCATTCTCGTACACTCTTTATGACAAAGTTGAGCGGTAGCCATTGGCTCTCAGTATCCGTCGAAGATACTGTAATTCACTAACCGTGTCTTCCATTAAACTGCAGTGTGTCTCAACGCGCTTATATAGCGCCTTTACGCAATAGTGTTTGTGACCGATCGGGTGGTAACTGTTGAAAGTCAGTACTTGCGTCGTATTTGCCACCCTTCTGAACACTTTGCTTTTTAGGGCACCACAATCTTTGCAGAAAACTAGGGCATCCAGAAAGGCCAGCTGGTTGTTCTCTTACTCCTCCATCGTAAATTGAGTGTCCGGGAAGACGGCGTGAGACGTTCTTTGAATGTCAGCACCTGCTCTCGTTCGATGACGTCAAAGGTATCATCTACATACCTTACCCAAAATTTCAGTCTGTGGTGGCGGGAAATCAGCGACTCCAACCGTTGTTGGACCGCCTCTGCTATGAGTCCCGAAATCGGTAAACCCACTGGCGTGCCCTTCACCTGCTCGTGGATTGTTCCGTCGAACTTAAAGTACGTTTTGATGCAGAACTACAGGAGGTAGATGAATTGGATGTGTCTGAGGTGATTCTCCGTTTCATTGTATTTGTCTCGCATGAGTATTTCGATGGTCTCGACTGCCAGGTCCTGCGGAATAGAAGTAAAAAATAATACCATGACATCGCTAGGCAGGAGAGCAACTCCTTTAAGTTGCTCTTACAATTGTGTTGACGAGCTGATTGTGGTGTTCGAATCGGAGGTCGGAAACTTGAGACGTCGAAACAGCCACTTTGCCAGTGCGTAGGATGGAGTGCCTTTTAGTGGAACGTGGAGAGAAGAGAATGTGAACTGTGAAGTGATGTAAGCGAGGATGGCGTATAAACACTCCTCTCCCCCTAGTGGCAGAGCCACTCGCTGGATTAAAATGGTTAGGAAGCTGCAAGCACGTGATGTTTGTAAAGTCGGCGTATTCGTATTCACCAAAACCTTTTTAGAAAGCTAACCATACGATATCATTTAAGTGGGGCTGTAAGACCAAACCTCGTCGAAGATGTTTTTATCCTTAATGAGAGTTGAGGGAATTATGCGTGTCTACCAGTCCCAACACCAGCCGTTAACGTTGCTATGGGAATAGAAAAAATACGGTCGAGTGGGTCGTAACATTGTCCTTATCCTAGTGCTCATGACCACATGAGTTGCCGATCAAAATTAATCAGTTCACTGGCTTCAAAGGCTTCGTCCCCGGCTTAGGCAATCAAGAAGACTAGTCAAAAAATAAGCGGCAATATGTTTATTGGTCATTAGGAAATGGCATATTATGCGTGTTTACCAACCCCAACCCCAACCATGATGGTGGCAACAATGGTGGTGATGGTGGCAGCAGCGACGCCAACAGCATCCGTGGTGGTGATGACAGCCACAGCCACCCCACCAACCGCCGCCGCATGCTGGAGACACAGCACCCTCGTCCTCCTTCGCGACGACCTCCCCCTTCGCATCCTTTGACAGATCCTCATCCTCCTCCTTCTTCGATTTCGCCAGGGCGACCTGCACCAGCACGCCGAGGAGCAGAATTGCTAGGAATGGTTTCATTGCGATGGCTTGTGATGTCCTGTTTGGTTTGACGATGCAGCCACCCAATCTGTTCTCCTTTTTATACCCAGTCGATCAGTGCGATTCGTGAACACTCATTGACATGCGCACATAACTTACCTTACAAAAAGGACGACTCGTTTTGTTACTTCTGCCTAGACAAGCAATCAAGTAAACAAACCCAGGGCCGACCCCGCCCAACATCTGACAACTTATTTGGGCTCAAACGCAAATTACTAACGAGTCAATCACACTTTACACTACTGAGGACAACTCAGCTGATCTAAGCAAGGTCGCTTAAGTGGAGGGAAACACTTCAACAAAAGTGTAATATACTTCAAATTGGTCCATTTGCTATTTTGCCGACTATTCGATATACTAGCAGCGCTTCGTTAACTGTGGATGGAATATTGTATTTTCTCGTAGAGTGGAAAGTATAAGCGACCGTGTTTGACGTAACTTAGGGGGGTACAGTCGGGGTGGAACATCGCTCGGCTTAACGGCCGCCAACTGGTATTCAAAGATTGATTGCTCGAGTGGGGACCCCTGCACTGTCGATCCAGCCAATTGCCACTTGCTAGGTCCTCCCAGTTTTTGCCTGCAACGTCGTAACCACCCATAAGAGAGGCTCCTGTCTATATCCCACCAACTACTAGCCGGAATATCTGACATGTATTTGCTGCAAGCTGATGGTAGAGATAGTTAAAAAAAATCAATTACATCACTCGATACATTCCGCTGCCCCATCAGGGCAGTTTAACATGGCTTCTGGGAAATGAGTTCCTGCCTCACAAACCTGCTTACGTCACTCGAACTTTGGTCAAAGGCCGTGGATGAAGAACCTCCAGAAGATGTCATTTACTTTGACTACAGCAATGAGTTTTATTGCGTTCCACATAAGCGCATAATTCAAAGTTGTCAGATTTGGGGATAGGGGGATATCTCCTGGACTGAATTCAAGATTTCTTAAACGGTCTTGGCAAAAATGGTACTTCGGGTGGCTACTTCGCAGAATGAGTGCCTGCTACAAGTGAAGTCTCACAAGGGTCAGTTCTTGGACCGCTCCCACTCATCATCTAGTACGGGAGGTTGAAACGGACATTGCGCTCTTTGCAGATGACCTTAAACGTCCTCCTTCGCACTGACCTGTCCATACGCTCACTTTGAACTATCTGTCTACTTCTCCTCCCTTGACGCCTCCTTGGTACTCTCTTTCGACAGGGCGATCTGCAAGAGGACTTTCAAGAGCAAAACTGTCGAGCTAAATCTTACTTAAGTGTCTTGTAATGCCATAAATGGACTGAAAATTACGACTACCTGAAATGTCAAACCTTGTATACGCAAATAAACTGTGCGCTTTGAAAGTTTAGGTTGGCTTTTTATAATAAGTTAAACTAGACAAACAATCGACAAAGCAGTGCTCTTGATTTTCCTATCCTTTTTGTCCGAACAGGCCATTAAAGCGCCAAAAATTCAGTCCTGCAAAACGTGTTAGACTTTTCTATGCAAGATACTTTGGTTTTATCACGTCAAGACTGTATTTTATTAATTTTTTAAGTCCACAAACAAATCCAAACTATGTCAGAGTTTCTTAGCTCATTAAGTTTAAATTATCGCTTAATGAGAACCTCGTCTTCTAACTACAGAAAGAAAGCAAACCGGATTGAAGTAATAACCTAGAGAGTGCATGACAGCAGGGGTTTGCCACAAAATCTACTGTTCCTTTATTTTGCACGACTTTATGGAGATTTTGCCGATTATGAAGGAGCAACACTACGGCATCCAGCAGGAATTGCGGTGCCATCAGCATCACTTATCGTCCACTGGTAACATACGACTAATGGCTGCTTGCAGGCAGTAGACAAATGGCTACAGATATCGAAAGAATGATTCGATTGGTGAACACATATTTGCCCACGGTGATACACTTCTGCGGGCTCCAGTCGCAAAAAACAGTCGCCTCGACTACACTACACATTTCTGGCGCGAGCAAGTCACAGGGAGAGAAAAATGTTTTTTTTATTCCTAGAGCGAACTCGGTGAATTATTCGTGGCTACCAGCCTCAACTACAACCGAAGCCGTCACCGTTGCTATGGGAACGGGAAAATGACGGTCGACTGAGTCGCTGCGTCGCTCTCATCCTGATCCACATAAGCAAATGAGTTTTTGTTGAAAATTAATCAGTTCACTGGCTTGACAGGCTTTGTCCTTGTCTTAAGTAGACAAGTCACGAATAAGCTCTGACCTCTATTGGTTAGCAGTACATGGCGGATTATGTGTGTTTACCAGCCCCAACCCCAGCCACAGCCCCCACCTATGATGGTGACAAGAGTGGTGATGATGGTGATGACAGTCAGAGCCACCACATTAACCGCCGCAGGCTGGAGACACTACAGCCTCGTCCTCCTTCGCGCTCACCTCCCCTTGTACCACCTTCGACTGATCCTACTTCTCCTTCCGTTCCGGTTCAAAACCTGCCATCTCAGATGCAGTCAGTTTTTTGAGTTCTCTTATTTGGCCTGTAGTTCAAGTAGACAAGGCACAAGCAAGACGCAACCTCCTTATTGGCTAGCAGGAAATTGCGGATTATGCGTGTTTACCAGCCTCAGACATGATGATGGCAACAGTGAGCCAACAACACCGGTGGTGGTGGTGGTGGTGGTGGTGGTGGTGGTGGTGGTGGTGGTGGTGGTGGTGGTGGTGGTGGTGGTGGTGGTGGTGGTGGTGGTGGTGGTGGTGGTGGTGATGGCAGCCACAGCCACCCCACCAACCGCCGTCGCAGGCTGGAGGCACTGCACCCTCGTCCTCCACCTTCGCACTCACCTCCTCCTTCGCCTCCTTTGATAGACCCTCCTCCTCCTTCCGTTTCACCAGCGTGATCTGCATCAGTACGCCAAGCAGCATAACTGTCAAGAGAAGTTGCGTTGTATTTGGTTGTGTTTCAGTGGTAAAGCTGACGTCTTGTCTTGTCCTAATACCCTGCCTTTCATAGCTGTCTGTGGAGATTTACAGCCCTGTTTGACAGTACGGCACATGTAACTTTGGCGCAAGTGCTGTTTTCGTTCCATCACAGTAATCAAACAGGCGAGCTTACACAGCCAGATGAGGGAGAATGCTGCTTGAAGCTGAACTGATTTTGGCGTGAGGTGAGTGATGTTATGGGCAATGACAGGATGTAGTATAACGCACAAATTCTGGACTGCTACTGTAGCTAAATTCGGACAAAGTCCTAGTTATAGGGGAAAGAAATTAAGCATTGTGGAAGAAGATTTGTATTTTAGACAGAAGGGGGCTGCGGATAGGTTGGAGCAGACAGCAGTGGGAATACACGCGCAGTCTGTCTGGAAAACAAAAAGAAGGCAGCATAGATGGAGCAAGAGATGCAACCATCGAGGACCGTCTGGTCTGAAAAGGGGGGCCATCATGGTTGCCATAGCCGCAAATGCAGATGCTGTTTATGCCTCTGATGCAGCGGAGGAACCGGTAAACCCTCTTAAACCGCATTTTCACTCAATCAGTGAAAGTTTAGTTGCCTAACGTCGGACATGTTTGTGACTGGGTTCGAAAATATGATTCCTCTCGCGATAACTTCTCGGAAAGTTTTTCTCCCCGTGTTCAAACTTTAGTTTCTATTCAGCACTTCCCCAGTCCTAACCTTGAAATATCGGACCCTAACCCTCCTAGTTATATTCGAAAATTCACCCCTACTAAGCAAATTCCTGGCTCTAGCTCTAATCCAGATTTTAATCTCCCCTTAAATTTTGGGCCAAGTTTACCCATAATACGTGGGGTCGATATTCTTATGTCAAACCCTGCTTAATGGTCAACTAGAGCACACCGCCAGATCTGCCAAATAGCAGAAGTCGCTGATGCTAGGCTGGCATTGTGTAAAACGGAGATGCTAACACCGAGACGCGGTACATGATGTCGTTCTCGTTTTTTAAAAAAAATTACACCGTCCTGTTTTAAAGTGTCCTCCTGCGGTAAACCTAGCGCTGCCTGCTATCTTTCTTCCAAAAAAATATACTCTTTGCAGCATAATGTGTTCATCGTTGGAATGCACTTACTTCCTCTAAACTTCGTGCATACACGGTTACTACTTACGCGCGTTGAGTGGACGTTTGCGTTTGGTTACCGACTTTGGAAGAGATAATTCAGACAGTGCGTCTAAAATGAACATATGTTTCCACTACAGTAGCCCAACCGACGGCTGGTTACCTACAGGGAAAATTATACATTTGAAAATGTGCCCACCATATTCATTTCCCTGGTGACAGCGTACAACCTAAAGCTGCAGAAAAGGAAAGATGGGGGTTAAGGAAGTGAATACCAGTAATGCTGACGAATAAAACTGTGGATGCTGTCTTCATATTACTCATGTTTCAATCATGGGAGTTTTTAAAATGCCCTTGTTAGCCGTCGTCAGCCATTCATACCCAACGGAACGAGTGGATTCCGTAAAAATGATCGGTGAACGCCCTACCGTTGTATATTCCCTATCGAAAACTGACAGGGCAACGGGCTCGTGCCCCAGTGGTTAGAGGCGTGAACTTCTAACTGACAGGTCGCGAGTTCGAGCCTCGGGTGTTCCACACTCCGGGGTTGGATTTGACTGGCTGACTACGGCTAATAATTCAGAAATGGCCATTCCAGTCTCCCTTGCCTTCTTTGGTAATATCATTCTGCCCTTATCATGCGCGCTGTGTAGCTGCTAGTTGGGCTCGAAAAAGAGTCCGCAAGGCACAACGGAACGAGTGAGTTCCGTAAGAACGATCGGTGAACGCCCCTAAGTCATGGTAAATATCGAGGATTTCGGCATCAAAAAAATTTCCACCCTAAATATTAAGCTCGTAAAGGCAGTCTATCCATGTAGATATAAACTCCAGTATCTATGAATGAAAAATAGTGGCAATAGTTTAAAATAGCGGTAAACCGCGAACCATCGCCTGAACAAACTGTATGAAGTAATCTCGAAATGCTCATACTTTGGAATCTCGTTGATCGCAGACAGACTTTCGCTTGACATCTAACACGTCCGGGTTGAGAAGCACGATAATGAGCCTATATAGACATTTCTGCAGCGCCTGGTTCTCAAGGCGGTTGTCTACATGGTCAATAGCAGAGGCCGACGAAACACGCAGGCCAAGCCAAATTGGTACACGGGAGAAAACGTGATCTAACAACGCCTACTTAAGTAGATGCAGTAAGCAGTCTTCTGTACTATTTGGCAGGGAAAAAGCCATGCTCTTATATAGAGCGCTCCGCTGTAGAGCACTGTGGAGACACACACACACACGACAGTTTGGCCGTCGTTGCCGAAAGTGTCAACCGTGTGCTCCACAACAAGATGGAACAGGAACGATGGCTTGTGCATGAATTAATCTATAGTGAATGAAGACTTGCACGGCATTGACCGCACTCTCTCCTCCCCCACCTGGGCCCAGTTTCAAGGCAGTGTCAAGAAGATCGGGGGCGAAAGGGGACGCTGGTGGATAGCACGGTCGAGCCCGCACCTTGCCGCTCCACTCCACTCCCCCTGATTTACATAGCAAATGACCAGGATATTAACCGACAGAAACACTGGGGTGGGACGTATGGTCCCACTGTACGCTGCGTCTGCTGGCAGCCGGGTCTGCCACCGCACCCCCGAAATGTTGACATTTGTTATGGTGCGCATTCCGATAACGCCTGCCAGGATCCGACATGGCCCCCCCCTGTTGGTCCAGCGCATCTACCACGTGACCCGTTCGTGAGGGACACACACGCACTTGTCTGGCATCTTCATTCGGTTTAGCCGCATTTGGCGGATGGTTACAGGGGAAGTGGTGCCGTGCCGGGCACCACGTCATGGTGCCACAGGTGAGGTCTGCGTGCCGAGATGGGACGACGCGAAACTACCCACGAGGCACATCGAGGTTTTTGGATGTAACTGTTAATATACTGCCTATAGGTGCTCGTTGCCACCTCGGTCGTACCTGCATAATCGGGCCCAGATGGACTCGTCTATGTCACATCCATGTGCGTGTTAATTGCGCAGAGTGCCCTCGTCAGTGTAAAGTCGAGGGATCTGATGTGACCATTAAACTATCCTCAGCCATGGACTCAGTGTCGTATCGATCGCTGAGTGGGACTTATAGGACATATGTATGCCTCCCCTTCTGATTTGGGACTCCATTCAAAATTCATCTGACATAGCCGATCGAAGGCGACACCAAAAGAAGTCAGTGGTAAGCTGGTAGGAATAATAAAAATCAAAAAACCGTTCATTAGAGTCACAGGCCTTCCCAAACCTCAAAGCTGACTGATGGCGCGATGTAAGCCAGAAATAGCCACACCGCCCGTCTCCCTTCAGCGTAAGAAAAAATAGCCGGAGTGTCAGTAGCCGAAATGATGAAACGGCAAGACTTGGACACCACAATCAAAACTAACCCTCCGTCCACAATACCAGCAGTAAACATCAATATGCTTAATCCTCAAAACAAGCCATCCAGCATTCCCCCTACTCCAATCATCTACCATACGCAAAAATCAGCTCAGCCAACTGCAACACTTGCCTTGTTTACTCACATGTTCGCTTACTACCAAGTAGCAAAAGGCTTTCCTGTAGCGCAGTGCCAAACAACCCCATAAATTCTTCCTCCACACCCAGCTATAAAAGGAAGGGTAGTGGTGCGTGTGGTTGAGTCGTCAGCTAGTCTACAGCATCTTAACCTAAGACAATGAAACTGCTTCTCACGGTGCTGTTGTTGGCAGTCCTGGCGCAGATGACCCTGGCGAAAACGGTTAAGAAGGAGGAGGTGGAGGAGGAACCAGAGGGGGAGGTGAGTGCGAAGGTGGAGGACGAGGGTGCAGTGTCTCCAACCTGCGGTGGCTGGTGGGGTGGCTGTCATCACCACCACGGATGTTGTTGGCGTCGCTGCTGCCACCATCACCATCACTGTTGCCACCACCATCATGGTTGGGGTTGGGGTTGGTAAACACGCAAAGTCCGCTACTTCCTCCTATGCAATAAAGTAATACTATCCTACTTTTCCTCTTTTTTGTCCCTTAATCCGGCAAAACATGTCATCTGTGTAGTGATTAATTCTAAACCACAGGCATTCTGCGGGCTGTAAGAATTGGATCCATGTGTACTGTCGACCTCTTCTCAGAGGTTCTGTGATCTCCGGCTTCCAGCGTTGAGGGGTAGACGAAGGTGGTTACGCCTTTGTTCATCCGATTTACACGTTTAAGCGTTCATTTCGTGACATTCCGATGTAAATTACAGTCATAACAGACTATCCGCGGAGTCGTCTTCAGCATTGTGTAGAGGAAAATTTAGCTGAGGTTTTATTTTCAGTTAGTATGATCGTCATTGTTTAGCAATAGACTTGCTGACTCCGGTAGAGTGTAACATTTGTAATAGCAGGGTTTTGAAATCATCCACGGCAGTTTTTGTGTTTCGTGGCCCCTACGCTGGCAGTTCTTACCACTAGCTTCACTTCATTACCCGAAGATATTTCTTCTTTTGGTACACGAACACCTTAATCCGCACATACATTCCCACCTCCTTGGTGGTAGGACCACGTAATTGACCACCGGAGGGAATTGTTAAGTCTGAGGACGACTGGGTTTCGTAGAACCAGCCTAGGCAAAAAACGACTGCTTTCTCTAACCTGACTGCCGCACGATGAATCGCCGGCTTGCATCATCTTAGAGGTGATCGGCTCTCGGAGTGAGCAGTGTCCATTGACATTGCGACAACTTGCATTTGCCAAGGCAGTATGTGCGTTCAGCATGCATCCCAGTAATAATAAAGATGCAAATAGACTGCTAAGACCGGGCAGCTCCGCCATTTGTTTGCTGAAAGAGGATGCATGCTAAGGAGATGACCGATCTGCTTATGCTTCTGGGTGCATTGGCTAGAACTGATGCCAGCTAATCCAGCTCTAGAATTCTCTGAAGTACATGCGACCGCCCGCTGGACCCTCGGAGGCTTTAGGCCCATTGGCGTTCTGTTCCCGCTGGGTTAAGGGTCGTCAGTAGTCTGTCTGCTGTTAGCTGGCTACCACGTCGATGATTTTGGTTCGGAGAGGAGGTTGGAATGCAAACCTCGCGAAGGAATTAACGACCTAACTCAACCGCTCAAGACAGCTGAATTTTTAAAAACCTTTCCAATTCCTGAATAATTTTGAGCCCCGGCCTTTCTTTACACTTGCATTCAGGGTTTCCAAAATATAAGCTGTATATTTTCCACATACGGAAAGTTATCCATTTCTATACGGTATAAAGAGGATACCATTGGTAAATGCAGAGACATGGCGCTTCATGAACGGCCATTTCACGGCATTAAAATTCGCACAATTGGAAACTTTTTTAAAACCGAATTATACTCTTCCTTCGAGAATAAAATTGGAAGAAAACGTCATTTACTGTTGAATGAGCAAAGGAATGAATATTTTTATGCATGATTTTCATGAAATCTAATTGAATCTTTAAGGGCATCGAAAAGCAATGAGAAAAATGCATGCTACATAGGGAATTATTTTTGCTGTTTGTATGCAGCCGAGAAGAAGTTCGTGCGATAGCCGGCATCCTGGGGTAACTTACTTATTTTAGAATTATGCCACACGATGCTTAGAGTTACAACCCTACTTAAATAAACTTTTCGAAACGAACACGCACTTCTGAATTTCGGTTGACACTTCATAAGTTAGCCCGCCTGCTGTATGTTCAACAGATGACCGATGTACTTATGCTTCTGAGTGCATTGGCTGGAACCGATGCCGGCTAATCCAGCTCCAGAATCCTCAGAACTACATGCGAGCTCAGACCCTAACATGCGGATTCAAAGACTTTGACCTCATTGGCGTTCTGTTCCCGATCACAACGGCAGCTGAGTTAAGTATCCTCTGCAGTCTGCCTACTGTTAGTTGGCTACCATGGTGCTGGTGTTGGTTCAGACAGGGGATCGGAATACGGATCCCTCAGACGGATTACTCCATGCTTCTTCGAACGACCTAACCCAAATGCCCGAGAGAGCTGAATATTTTGGCGGACGTCGCCCTGATTAACAGTTAGGTCTCACGTCTGAGGACAGTACAGTGAGCCATAGCCGTAGCACACAGGTTGTCAGCACCACGATCTTCCCTGTGTCAGCAGGGCTTAAAAGCCCGGTTTTTTCAGCCAATGATCAGACGGTATTGTCCGCAGTTTCATAGGCTTAAATGTTTGTCATTTCCAGCCTCTCAAGGCGATCCTGTACAGGTGTGTTGTGGACAGAAAATTTCGCAAGCGGATGCTATCAGACAATTTTTCTTTTTTTCGCCGGCCTTGTACTAAAAGGCAAAAACGGAAACTGGAAAGAGTTAGTATATTTGGAGTAAATGGCAGAAGCCTTTAAAACGCCATGTAAACGGTATGGATGCAGAAAGGTCCGTAAAAGGCATTAAGAAGTTAATTTCGTTCAAGCCTCGCCTCTGCGGTTGACTGAAGCAAGCTAACGACTTCACTATTTTGCATCTGAGGAAATAGGAAAGAACACTTAGTGTTGCATGCCTGACGGTCTCGAGTTAATTCCTACACAACGGTATACTGAAAGCCGACTGAACATCGTTCCGTGAGGGAGCAGGAATTTCCTTCGAAAGCAACCAGCTACTTAAGTAGTTTAGATACTGATGAATGACTTAATGAGTCTGTATAAGTCCATTTCTACTGCATATAAGACTTTTAAGGACATTGCGCTGTCCTCATTGATTTGACCTAAAAGAAATAGCATCCTCATGGCTGGAATATCCGAATGCTTTGAAGGGGGAAAAAGATGAAACCATTTAGTGAACACCGGTCGTCAGGGCTGATCATGCAATGCAACTGCCAGCCTCCCCTCAATCCTTTTTTGCGACCTCATCCGAGCATTATCTTCCATTTTAAAGCCTGTCAAAAAGTCTGGACCAGTGTCACGAGAGATTCGACACTTACCATAAACTAGAGGACGTTTAGGCCATTCTCTTCGGGTTAAGTACCGGTCCTTTCTCGTTTCTGCCCAATCTAGGGTGGTAGCTTGGTAGGACCTAAACCAGACTTTCACATTTTCCGTGTACAAATGAACTGTTTAAAACGCTTTTAGAGGCCATTCATTAACATGTCTTCCCTCGAGAAATTACACGCTAGGAAGACTTTTTGTATTGCGTGCGAAATTTCAAAGCTTTTGTAAATCACCTGATTTTGTTGATTTTATTTACGATGTTGTGCTGTCATCCAACAGGACTCACAGTTACATATTTGATAAGTACACTTGGACTTACATGCGGCATCTCTGAATACCATAATATATTGACGGTTATATGTATCATGAAAAACTTAAGGGTTCACGATCCAATCCCGCAGGAGGGAAGGGACCACGCTCCAATGGGCGGATTTAAAATGAAAACACCAACGCCGTAAGATGATCAGAGAACCTGCACGACCACAGACCTGCTACCTAGCCGATTGCCCTCGAAATCAGGGCACCTTCGGCGTTGATTTAGGCTCCAACAGAACTGGAGACTTTCATTCACATAGGATTAGCTAATCACAATTCTTCTGTAAACGACAGTCCTGTTTATGTATGCTCACTGCCAGCTAACGATCGGTGTCACCAAACAGGCATTTAGCTGGCATGCGCGCATTTCAGAGCTCAGTTCGCAGGGCATCTAATATGATACCTGTCAACTCCCACATCGAGAAAAAGACAACAGTTTTCTATCTCCAGTTTGCATGGAAAAACTGGTTTTCCTCCTGAATCAGGTTTCTTAAAAACAGTAAGGGACAGTCGATTGCGCAAAACGTAAACGCCTTAATCGAAGGCTCTCGTTCAGAACATCCGGGAAATAAAGTACATCATACCCTGGAAAGGTCCCAGGTGGTCTGGACATACTCACATCTCGGCGAGAGGGGTGCGCGTTCCCAGGAGACGGGGTAGTTGGTCAAAAAGTCACAGCACATGGGACAGGCGGATAAACAGACCCGGAAGAGAGATGGAGGTCCCCATACAATTTGGCACAAACAACTTGATAGGGTCCTAGGGACTTTCAAGTTTCCTAAGTAACTTCTCCTGCCCGCGACTAAGAGACCCCATAAGCGTCAACGAATTTCGAAACTCATGTGTCTCTATCATCGATTTACGACCTTAGCCTTGTTACACCACTGACAGTTCGACCGCCCAACACTCAGGTAACTGTGGTTCAGCTTATCAGCAAGGCTGTGATTAGTACGGTCACACTGAGTACGGTAGGCTTCCCCCAGCGCTACACTTCAACGCACCGCCACGTTACATGCCGCTTGGATTCTAAGAAAACGACGGTTGGGTGGTTAGTTAAATTTCGCCCTTCCTAGTCCGCACTCCCACCAGAACTCCAGCTCAAAATTAAGTCATGTAATTCGCATAGCTTAAACTTCATTGTAACCGTTTTGGCCTGATGAAGAGTTACTGAAAACACGTGTTCGCCAAATTGACTTTTCAAAATTAATCACTTGATGTAAATCCAAACAGTTCTCTGACATCACAGATTTGACCTGTAGTTGAAGTAGACAAGGCACAAGTAAGTGACAACCTCTTTATTAGCTAACAGGAAATGACGCACTATGCGTGTTTACCAACCCCAACCCCAGCCTCCACAATGATGGTGGTGGTGGCAACAGTGGTGATGATGGTGGCAGCAGCGACGCCAGCAACATCCGTGGTGGTGATGACAGCCACCCCACCAACCGCCGCCGCAAGCTGGAGACACTGCACCCTCGTCCTCTTTCGCACTGACCTCCCCCTTTGACAGATCCTCCTCTGGTTCCTCCTTCCTCGCAGTCTTCGCCAGGGTCATCTGCACCAGCACGCCGAGAAGTAAAATTGTTAGGAATGTTTTCATTGTGACCGCTTCGTATGTCCTGTTTGGTTTGACGATGCAGCCATCTAATTTGCTCTACCTTTTATACCCATTCGCGGAATGCAGTTCGGTAACATTAATTAACGCGCGCATATAACGGTCCCTGGAAAAGGGTATTCTTTTTGCTACTTCTGCCTACACAAACATTCAAGTAAACAAATTCGGGCTGACCGCACCAACATTTGACAACTTTAGTTGGCATCAAGCACGAAGTTGCAAACAATTCGAACGCATTTCACACGACTGAAGATAGGGCCGCTGAATTAAACAAGATTGCCGATGAGGAGCGACGAAATTCAACAAAAATGCAATTTATTTCCAATTGGGTTCTTTACGATTTTACTGACTATTCGCTATAGAAGCAGCTTGTCGTTATCTCTGGATTGAATATAACAATTTCCCGCAGGCAGCGCATTCCCAGGAGTCGGGGTAGTTGGTTAAAAAAGTCGCAGCACATGGGACAGGTGGATAAACAGACCCGGAAGAGAGATGGAGGTCCCCATACAATTTGTCTCAAACACCTTGACAGGGTCCTGGGGACTTTTAAGTTTCCTAAGTAACTTCTCCTGCCCTCGACTAGGAGACCCCAAAAGCAACCACGAATTTCGAAATTATGTGTCCCTATCGTCGATTTATTACCATAGCCTTGCTATACCACTGACGAATATTACGTTCGAATGAATTTAAGATCATGTCTCCTGTCAATCCTTTTTTACGACCTCATCCGAGCATTATCTTACATGTTGAATCCTGCAAAAATTATGGATGACTGTCTCGGGAGATTCGCCACTTCCCGTAAATTAGAGGACTTTTAGTCCATTCTCTTCTCCTTAAGTACCGGTCCATTTTCTTTTTGCCCAAGCAAGGATGTTGGCTTGGCAAGGGTTTGAGTAGTCGCTCATATTAACCGCGTACAAATGAACTGTTTAAAACGATTTTATAGGTCACTCATTTACATGTCTTCCCTCGAGAAATTACACGGGACGAAGACGTTTTGTATCACACGGGAAATCTCAAACCTTTTGCAGAATACCTGATCTTATTGTGTGTGTGTTTTGAAAGAGCAATGTATGTGATGGTCTGCTGTCACCCAGAAGGGCTCATAGTTTATTATTTGTTAAGTTGACTTGGACTAATAGGCGCCATCTCTGAATACCCTATTAGATTGTCGGTCATCTTTATCATCGGAAACATGAAAGTGTACGATCCAATCCGACAGGAGGGAAGAAAGCACGCTCCAGCAGGCGGATTTAAAGTGGTGACACCAACATCAGCGAGCCTGCACGACAACTGAGCTGCGACCTAGCCAATTTCACTCGAAATCAGGGCTCTTTCGGTGTTGATTTAGGCTCCAACAGAACCGGAGACTTTCATTCACATAAGATTAGCTAATCACAATTCTGCTGTAAACGACAGTCCTGTTTATGTATGTTGTCTGCCAGCTAACGGTCGGTGTCACCAAACAGGCATTTAGCTGGCGTGCGCGCCTTTCAGAGCTCAGTTCGTAGGGCAGTTAATATGATACTTGGCAAATCCCACACCGAAAACAATAATGCAGTCTTCCATTTCCAGTTTGCATAGAAAAACACTGGTTTTACTCCTGAATCCGGTTCCTTAAAAACAGGAAAACACAGCCGAATCCGCAAAACCTAAACCTCTAAATGGAATGCTCTTGTTTAGAATGCCCAGGGAATAAACCACATCATCCGCTGGAAAGTTCGCAGGTGGTCTGGACAGACATACCTCTCGCCAAAGCGTCAACGCATTCCCAGGAGACAGGGTAGTTGGTCAAATTGTCACAGCCCACGGGACAGATGAATAAACAGACCCAGAGGGGAGATGGAGGTCCCCATACAATTTGGCACAAACACATTGACAGAGTCCTGGGGAATTTCAAGTTTCCTAAGTAACTTCTTCTGCCCGCGACTGGGAGACCCCAAACGCGACCACGAATTTCGAAACTTATGTGTCTATATCATCGATTTATGACCATAGCCTTGCTACACCACTGACAGTTCGACCATCAAAATCGACGACCCCTACAGCCACCCTACGCAATGGATGTAGGAGCAGTGACTTGCGCGTTAATTAGTTTACGATAAGGCAGACTTGCTCAGGACCAACCGCATTCTCACATCCTTCATCCACCTTACACCGACACTGTCGGCCCTAAATTTGGCGAGCTCACCCGTACGTGAAGAAAGTCGCGGAAGCTGTCCTCTCACTCCACTTGGAGCCGGGGGTGGCACACAGGCCGGAATCAACCACTAGGAGCCAGACGATGAGGCCGAAAGACCCAGTGTCACGGCAGGAAACGTCTGGAGTCGCTTACCACGATTGGTCCAATTTCGGACAGAGTAAATATATCGGAGAAACTGAAAGATTCCTCCGGACGCGAATAACCGAGCACGCAGCAACAGTGAGGAGGAAGGACGCTCATTCCCTGGCCATTTCTGGCTTATAAGCCGTCGTCAGTCAGTCATACCCAATCCCGAAGTGTAGAATACCTGGGGCTAGATCCCGCGACCTGTTAGTTAGATGCCCAACGCCTCTAACCACTGAGCCTCGTCGTCTTGACGGTATCGATCGGGAATATACAATGGTTCAGGGGTGTTCACCGATCATTTCTGCGGATTTCACTCGTTTCGTTGTGCCTTACGCAATTCTCTTGAGCTCAACCAGCAGCCGCACAGCTACGCATGATATAGGCAGAATGGTATTGCCGACGAAGACAAGGTCGAGTGAGTTCCGTATAAATGATCGATGTGCGTCCTTCGCTCGTTGTATATTCCCGGCCGCAACCGAAAAGACAACGAAACCGTGGGATCGTGGGATCGAGTCCCGGGTATTCCACACTTCCGGATTGGGTATGACTGGCTGACGAAGGCCAACAAGCCAAAAATGGTTATTTCAGTCTCCCTTGTCTTTGTTGGTAATAGCATTCTGCCTGTATCAATGGCCGCTGTGCGGCTGCTGGTTTGGCTCAAGAGAGAGCCCATAAGGCACAACGGGACGAGTGAGTTCCGTTAAAATTATAGGTGAGCGCCCTACGGAAATTGCGGTAAGTAACGACTCGGGTTCGGACTGACAAGCTGTTATCGAATCAATTATGACCCCCACCGGTAATCGCTAGAGCTGTTAATTATTTTACGCACGTGACCCCACGGCAGCTACGTCCCATGAATACTGCAATATTTGTTTCCCCACCACTCTTATCTGCGACTGTCTCTGATGATGTGGTTCTATTGAGAGTCCAAAGCGTCATGCCGCTAAACTTTTGTTCCAGTGATCGCGTCTTCTTCTTCTGAACGGCTTCCTGAAAGTCGGCTGTTTGCGTCTATCGATAATGTCTTGATTTTTTGCAGTGCCGACCTCAATTCCTCTTCGCTCTCTCATGCACCAATCGACTGTCTGGCCCTGCTAATCAACAGGTGTTGGGATTAGGCGCAGTAGCTCGTGCGGCGTGAAAACGTACATTTAATGCGTGCCACCGCATGCATTTATGACAGTAATTATGGGATCGCACGGATTCTGCGTGCTCTGAGCCGGTTTGGTTTTTGCTTCGGTCTAAGGGATCTGCAGCGCAGTCCGTTGTGGGTATGTTTGCCCGTAAATGGTCCATACGGTAGATTAACTAGCCAATCACGAGGCCTCGTTCGGTATCCGGTAGGCGTTATCGGGAATGTGCACCCATACCATATTCCAACATTTGGGATGTTGAGACAGACCTCGTTTCAGGCGCACACCGCGCCAAGTGGGATCAGTGTCGGCCTTCCTTTTTCTCGGTGTAAAATCAGGGTGAGTGTACGCTGTGGACCAGGGCGTGTGCTGTTACGGCCAGGTGTAGGTTTTCGTCATG